GGGGGAGGAGGCCCTAAAGGACTGTCCTTCATTTCTAACGGGCCTGGAGAAGGGGGCGGAGGGAAGAAGACTCCAGATGACCTGTTAGGGAGCGAGGATGGAGGGACTGATGGAGGTGGTGGAGGGTAGATGACCCCAGATGACCTGTCAGGGAGCGAGGATGGAAGGACTGATGGAGGCGGTGGAGGGTAGAAGACCCCAGATGATCTGTCAGGAAGTGAGGACGGAGGAACCGATGGAGGCAGTGGAGGAGGCGGAGTCGTAGGCATGGGAATGGAGTGTGATTGGACAAGTAACCAAGTGGGTTTTGCCATTTGAGGAGGAGGGGGTGGGGGAAGGCAGGTGGGGAGAGGAGGTGGTCTATTACTGGGCCGCTCCTGAGGAGGAGGTGGAGGGGCAGAAGAAGGAGGAGTAGAAGACAGTTTGAAAGAAGGATGTGTAGTTTGGCTTGGGGAGGGAGGGGCTGTGTATGAGGAAATAGGCCGAGTTTTTGACAGTGAGGAGGCTCTTTCCAAAGGTTTGTGGGAGGGGGAAAGATCAGGGGCGCTTCCTCTGAACCCGTCTTCCTGTGATGGAGGGTTCCAGAGAGGCTGCTTCAGGCTGGCGGTAGAGCCGGAGCGAGACACTGAAACACAAACAAGCCATTTCAAAAAGTCATTCAAAATTTGTCCAGCACTGAAAAAGTACAAAGCATGAGAATAAACAGGTCTGACTTCAATACCCGGGTTGTGATGTGGCTGCTTGTCTCTTTGTCCCACTGGTTTGAGTACAGGAAATCCCCCAGCAAATAGTCCACCCAGAGTTGGACCCACTGCAGATGGAGCAGATCCTGCTGTGTTTGTAGAGTTTCCAGCAGCCACATTTCTTCCACTGTCATCCACACTGTTCACTTTAGGTTCTGCAAATACATACATTATCATTATGCTTACTGTGATTTCACCAAGTAGATCATGCTCCTGGATCACACTGCAATACACCATTCAGATTCTAGGGTTAGATTTAGTCTTAAAAGGGTCCTATTATGCTCTTTTACAAAGTCTTGATTTTGTTTTGGGTGTGTACTAGAACAGGCTCTCATACTAGGTTTGTCGAAAAACACATTATTTTTCACATATTTTACATTATTACAACACCTCTCTCCCCAGTCTGGCATGAACGGCTTGAATAGTTCCTGTATTAAATGAAGGCCCGCCTTCTGAAATACAAAATATGCTGTGATTGGTTAGCTGGGCCAGTGTGTGTTGTGATTGGCACCACTCGGCGCCTGGTCGGGAAATGTCAGGCCTCTTACCATAACCAGCTGCGAGCTTCAGTGTAAATATTGCGTCAATGTCAAATCAATTTGAGCGCGATTTAAACCCGGATGATGGTAACCACTCTAAGTTCATCTGCCTTGGGAAAGCTAGCGTGTCTCCGACATAGTGATAACACTCGTTGCCTTTTCTAGACCAGGTCTCGTCCCATTCGTCGGTATTTGTGATATCACAAATCCCGGTAAATATATGCGTTGTAGTCCAAAGGAGTCGTTCGTTGTAGTTTTTGAAAAGTGATTTCTGTCAAATAAAATATCTCCTTTTGAAGTTTGAGCTTTGTAACTTTGCAGATCTTTTTTATGCTCAAACAGCAACATTACAGACTAACTAAAGTTGAAAAAGTGAAAAAGCATAATAGGACCCCTTTAAGGCTGAGTTTTTTTAAATAAACCTAAAATTTTAATCTGATTTTATGGTTAGCATTAGTGTAAAAATATGACTAAGGTATATATTATACATATACAGTCAGGTCCGGAAGTATTCTGTGCTTTTGCTTTTATACACCACTACAATGGATTTGAAATAAAAAAAATCAAGATGTGATTGAAGTGCAGACTTTAAGCTTTAATTCAAGGGGTTGAACAAAAATTTAACATAAACACCCGTTAACCTTGTAATTGCAAATGATTAGGCTACATTAACTTATGTAATTTATATGTAGGCTATATTAAAATACTGGTAAATATAAACAGCCTATTTAGTTCCCCTCACTCTACAACAGATATTTAAAATGTAACAGTATTCAGATTAGAACAGAGCAAGAATGAAAATTAAATAGTTATAAAATTATATATTAAACTATAAAATTGGCTAAAACACAAATTAGGCTATAGTGGGATTCATTATAAACAGCATTCATATGTCAAGCAAAACTGAAACGGCGTTGGGCTCACGAGCCTGTCTCATACCACAAGAATCCAAATGTTTCCATTTTTGCCATATTTGTAACATTTGTTTGCATAACTATTATTCATTATGTAGCCTAAACATGGCTTTATACTTCACTTATGTTCTAATATCCGTGTAAAATCCTTGCAAACATTTTTGTTTGGGTGCTGCACGCTGATTTTACAACGGACCTTTTAAAATAAACAGTGTAACTTTTATGTTTGGTTGACTGCATTTTAGTTTGATGATGAATGGCTGAATGGAGTGTCATAACAATGAGCATAGCCTATAGGCACTTGTTGCCCAGTGTTTATTTTTTTGTCATTTTGTTAATCTGTTCATTTTAGCCTATTTGTGTGATCCTATTTATTTTATTCCTTTTATAGACTTAATTTCTGTTTTTCTCCTTTCACAGAAGCGCTGCAGGTGCATGATGCGATGATTGAATCCTCATGGTCTTGTTTACGCTGCTATTCGCGCATATAAAGCTAAAGCACTGTATTAAACAAAACAAAAGACATTCTAATCTTACTGGTTAACGCTGTCATTCTACAATTCTCCACCGTATTTACTATGCTGCGCGCAAGTTCAGGTAACTCAAAAACTTGTGTACAAAAACTTGATCAATTCCAAGTTTTGCGTTGAAACGACCGTACGCCCAATTTTCTGTCATACGTTCGTTTCGCGAGGCCCAGTGACTGTCTCAAGTCTGGAACTCATGGGCATCACCAGAGACTGGGTTTCCTCCTTTGTGATGCTTTGCCAGGCCTTTACTTGAGCTGACTTCAGTTGTTGTTTGTTTTTTTGGGTCTTTCTGCCTTTAGTTTTGTCTTCAGCAAGTGAAATGCATGCTCAGTCGGGTTCAAGAATTATAGTTATAAACTATAGTTGCAAACTAAAATACATTTTCAATATCTAGTTTTCGTCTTCTTAATAGCTCCTGTTATAATAATAACCTTTTCCAGGACCAACAAATGATAATGCCCAAGAACATCCTACTTTCAATCACATAAGGCAAGCAGACCTCAAGACAATTGTGATGCATAAACAGGAACTGTAAACTGAAGTGATACAATGACTTTTCAATGAACATGGCATGTCCTGAGCACACAGAATACTGCTGTCCTTTGTATAAAGAGCAAGATGAGAAGCATTGTCACCCCCACTTTCTGTGTGATCCTCACTCCAGCACTTCCTGAGGTCTTGGCCCTTTATCTGCCGCAGTGCATTTCCATATACAGATAGAAAGCCTATGTGTCTTTGTGTGCACATGAGTGCTTTGAAGTATGAGAACCCAATGGCTATGGACCTCGAGTTTAAATATAGCTCTGCCACTGATAAATCCTTAAAACTTATCAGCCATTCAGACTTTTTCTGATGCCTGGTTTTCTCCTCATAGTTATTCTTTTGTACTGTTTCTCAAACTCCTTTCACGAGAGAGTAATTTAATACAGGTTCTCATGCTGACACAACACTATCATTTTCAATAAACAATCGTTGAAAATGCAATGCTGGTAGCTCTGGTTACATTAATAAACAATATTCCAGTGTTGCCATCATACAGCAGAAATGAATTTTGGACTGCTAAATCAGATAATCAGGAATAGAACCTGAAATAGTATCACTTTAGTATTCATATTTCCCATGCTTGCAAACAGATGGATTGTTGCCAGGTGACTCATTTCACCTGATCAGTGTTAAAGAATTGAGTTTACGTTAATACATTTGATTTTGACTTACTGTCAAGGAATGGTGTGCTTCGGTCATTGACCTGTGTGACCTTTTTCAGCCTCATCCCCTTCTGAATGTCAGACAGGAGCGCACTGCGACCTCCACCCTCAGAACGCTGTATTTTAGGAGGGTCTGTCCGTGACTAAAATAAAGAGTGAAAAATTGCAAATTTCTTAATGTTATGCAGTTCTAATGAGTTTCACTGTGCCATTCGTTTTCTCTGGTATGGTTTTTATTGCAGTATCTATGATATACCAAAACAAAACCCAAACTGGACAAAGAAATGGTCTAATCTAATTAGGTACTGAATTCTAAAATGACTTCATTAAGTCTAACATGGCATAACGTGTGATTTAGAAAACTACAAGATTCATAAAGAGTTGAAAAGTTATCTTGAAGAATGTTTCAACTGTTTTTGTCCATATAATGAAAGTCATCGAGTCCAAGACAACAATTTTATGGTATGGACATATTTTAAATCCCTTGTTTTATGTTTTAAAGAAGGAAAAAAAAAGTCATTTTAAAAAGTTAAAATGGTGAGTAAATGATTCATAATGTTCATTACAGGGTAAACTATCTCTTTAATGTTGGTTTTAAATGTGTTCAAAGATGTCATTTGTGTGCACATGCATTCAAACAGAAAGACAAATCTGAACATGTGACACCTGTGCTGTATATGCCCCTGAGTGTAATTTTATCTCTAATTAATAATGCACATCTAGCCGTTTGGTTGCCAGGAGGAACTGCGTGACGGAAACAAAGAGAAATAGACAGAGAGAGAAAGCAACAGACATATGGAAAAAGAGCCATTATACACACATTCTGATGAAATATATTACAATTAGGGATGCACGATATATCGGCCACCATATCGGTATCGGCCGATAAATGCTCATTTTTTCTGTTATCGGTATCGGCCTGATAAGAAAATTTGGCCGATATCTTAAAGCCGATAAATAATGCATTATTTCCTTCAGAGACACTTCAGATGGGTGGATTCAACGAAGGAGCGGCCGGCGGGCTTGCGGCAACCACATGTGACGACCCCGGGCTGGACTCCGCTTCGTCCACGGTGAAAGCCGATCCGGCGATCCACAGCACGAAGTTGATTTATTTCCTCAGCGACCAGCATGGATCAGCTCTAGGCATGATGAACTGGATATCGTCCTCTTTTGGAAGGCCAAACAAAGTAGTTTCGCTTTCACAACGAAACACAGCATCTTCACGACATGGCGCCAACAATACTACAGCGAGAATAAAAAGTTACGCATTCTTTCTTTGCGTGAACATGCGTTATGCAAATCTTCCCACATCGTGATGTAGACATGTGGGGGCATGTTAGAATGAGCCGTTTTAGGTAGTCGTGGTAGACTCTTAACTTTTATAAAGAATATCTCTTTGGATTTGAGACTTTAGTCTTTGCAACTTTACAGATCTTCTTTATGCACCAAGAGCTTGTAACACTCCAAAGAGAAAGGACAAATTGAAATCGCATCATATGACCCCTTTAAAACACAGACAGTAGGACACTTGCCCTCTGTATTGTACTATTTGACCTCTCTATTTGACCTCTCAGGCAGATATTTAAATTTAAGAGATAAGATAAGAGATATTAATAAAGATAAGAGATATTTAAAATGTATAATATAATTAAACTAAATTAATAGTTTAATTATAGGTATTTGCATTAATAAATATACAATTTAATTAATAAGCCCACTCATAATGTTTAGATAGACTTGATTTACATTTCTAAATTCAGGTTTTATTTATAACATACAAAAATTAAACTAGTTGTTAATGTATTTTGTAAATGCTGACTTACATTTAGAGCTCCAGCTAAACAAAAGTGTTAAAGAACACCAAGAACTTTTCAGCACTTCTCTGTGGTTTCAACATGACAAAGCGATCTCCCCGCACCCCTCTCTCTCTCTCCACAAGTCTACAGTACATGTTCCTCTTGGCAGGAAGCTTGTCCATCACAAGATGCACCCAACAGGAACCCTCCCTTCTCTTTTAGGAAAACCAATCTCCTGCTTCCACAATGGCCAGTGAGGTTCCAAAGATCATCTTTTGAAGAAACTGCATTTAATTCTGAACTAGGGTCATCTCTAACATACAAACCCCTGAACTTGACTTTTAAAAGGAACAGGCATACAAATGATCTCAGATCAGAGTAAAGTGGCAACCTTATCAAGAGCCGGAGGGCTCTGGAGATAACAATGGAGTCTGTTGTTTGAGAAGTAGAGCTGCTCAACTTCTGGCAAGCCCAGCACAGCAGCCAATCAGAGCTATTGTGTGAGGAAGAGAAACCCGCTAAATACAGCTGAGAAATGTAGAAGGAATTTAGTTCATATGTTAATTATTAGGAATGTTTATTCTTGCCAAAATAGAGAAACATTGTGTTATTGCTCCATGGAGGAAAAGGACAAACGGACAAGTTCAAGCATTAGGAAATTCTAATGTGAAATTAATTTCACATTTGTAGATGATTAAATAAATAAAATCCCAACATTGTTCAAGAGTCACATTAAGAATTCAACTATTCATCCTTTGGCCTCTTTCATGATATGACTGTCCAAGATCTTGTGGGTTATATTTCATCCAGCTGCATAGCTCTTAACAACACTCTGTTTTTCCCTAGAGTCCCATTAACAGCTTTCCCATGGAGATGTTGACACACAATGTTGTGCTGGTCCACCCATGTGTAAACATTTTTATCCACCTGTAGAGACATGCTGTATAATATCTGGCTAATGCTAATCATAACACGTGTGAATGATTTGTATTCTGTTTAAAGAATATATCTTTATATATATATTCCATTCATTTCACGAGGATTTTATAACATTAGATTTAATAACCTGCTATGTTAAGTGCAGTGTGAGAGAGTTACAATTATTATTTAAATGAATAATTCATATGAAAATAAATAGGTTTGTATACTTAAAGGGATAGATGACCCAAAAATTTAAATTCTGTCATCACTTATTCACCCTGGTTTCTTTACAAACCTGTATGAATTTCTTCCTTCTGTGGACCATAAAAGAAGATATTTTGAGAAAAGGTTTTGAGGAAATATTTTTATGTACAACTGAACATCATTGGTCAACAAAACTGTTCGGCTGCTGTTCGAATATCTTCTTTTATGTTCCACACAAGAAAGAAAGTCATGTATCAGGTTTGGACCGACACAAGCGTGAGTAAACGACGACAGAATGATCATTAGCCTATTGGGTGAACTGTCCCTTTAAAGTTCAACGTACAACACTCTAACCATTAAAAATTCAGATACTAAACTGTGTCATTCGAAAAGTTGTGAAATATGACCAGACTGTTCACATTTAAGTCTGGTTACTGTCAGTGCTGTTGTGAGTCAATAACATGACACTCACCAACAGAGTCCAGCTGAGAACACAAACCAGTGTCATATGTTAAACATAACGGTAGTGGTTCAGTAGTGGTTCAATGGTATTATAAAAGCCTTATTTACTGTAATGTAGTTTTCAAAGGCTACCTTACCTTGGAAAGCTGAAGTTTCGTGCGTTTTTCTGCTCCTCCAGGGGACGCAGGGAAGTTGTCAGAGGCCAGTCGGGGCGCGAGGCTGGGTCTGCATAGCGCGCGCCTTTGACCCACGAGATACAGTTACTGACCGCGAGCTCGTGTTATAATTAGGAAGACGCCGAGGGTTTCACGATGACTATTCGCGTCTAATTTTCCGTGAAGGAGGTGACGCATAAAACTGTCAGTTAAAAACACGAAGAAGAAAGCTGTAGAAATATGTCCTCTCCACTTGGTAAAAAACAATCCTCTAGAAATGGTGACACACTGTCCAAATGGTGTGCTTCTTTGGAATTTATGTGTGAACTGAACCGGACTACAGCACGCGCACCCTGTGGTCCGCCTGTTGCGTCTAGAATGCACGCGCAGCACAGCAGGCGGCGCAGTAGCCCCTCATTGCAGAACAAAGATCCAGGGAGCGGGGTTGGAGCCACATCTAGGGGGTGGAGATTGATAGGTTTAGGGGTGGAGATGGGTGGGTTTAGGGATCAGGGGGTGGAAACGGGTAGGTTTAGGCATATGTAAGGTGGGAGTAGTTGGATCTGGATCCAACCTCGCCCCCTGGATCTTGTGTTCTGCAGTGAGGAGAGGACCATCTCAGGCGGCGCGCGGTGGCAGTCTGTCCTGACCATGAGCCTGGCTATTTCATATTTTATATTATTCACACACCCGAGAGTGTTTATTAAAATGCATGTAGAAAGTATGTCACATTTCTGTAATGAAAATAAAACTAAAAGCTAAGGCTTTTATTAATTGTTTAACATCATATCTATTTTTTTGTGCTTCAGGTGGCTGTACTCTTTGCTGCGCGCGATCAGATCGCTCTCTAGCGGTAGTTTTTGACAACGCTTAGTTTGTGTGTGTGCAGAGTAGAGAGGCATGGCTAATTAAAGATGACCTCCAAACCAGATTTAATCAGAAACGAAGTCAAGATAGTATCTGAATATTTCATTGAATGAAAATAAAAGCAGCTACTGCTAAAAACTATCAATTGTGTCAAACAACAACAACGATAAAATGCATTTGATTCAATGTGAACAGTGCAGTCATGACTCTACAAGCCTTGATTGTATGATCTCTAGTTTGTAAGTCCATGCAAATGATCTAATATTTTCCACACTATTAGGGAAAGACAAGTGCAGTCATTCTGGCTCTCTGAGAAACTTGTCTTCTAAGAGTAAGGAATGTTGTGATACAGGGTTGATGAGGTTAAAGATGACAGCCTCAGGTGGGTTTGTAAGTCCATGCAAATGATCTAATATTTTCCACACTATTAGGGAAAGACAGTGCAGTCATTCTGGCTCTCTGAGAAACTTGTCTTCTAAGAGTAAGGAATGTTGTGATACAGGGTTGATGAGGTTAAAGATGACAGCCTCAGGTGAGGGGACGAGCATTAGCACACACTGATGGAGTTTTAAGTACTGTAACTCTAATAATGACCTATTGCTCTCTGTTTACCCCACCCATAACAAACACATACACGTAAGCACATTCAGGGGCAACAACAACTCAGCACATGCACAAATGGATGCTTTAGATGGAAAATCATCTGTTTATTTAAAATCGGATGTAGTA